TTATATAATTTATAAAATTATAATTATTATATAATTTTAATGTTCGGTTTACGTAAAGATGAACCAGATTGAAAATCGCCGAGACAAAAATTATACAGATCTGTTTATTTTCCGCATATTTAATTATTATTTAGTCGATTTGAATAATAATAGAGAAGTCGTGAATCGTTAAATTAGCCAATGGTTCCCAAATACCAAGATGTCACCGTTAATGCTGTCACTTACAATGCATCTCTCGTTTCTTAGATTCAATTTATACTTTGTAATTATAGATACTCAATGTCGGATAGTGAAATGAAAATAAAATATATCGTTCGTTATTTTCCAACTTTAACTTAGCTTATAAACCAAGTTAAATTCCACTGAATATTTCGAATATTCCAAAAAGACCATGAATATATTTCTTATAACGTTGAAACCCCGAAATTTCAAAATATAAGATTTCGTTTTTCAAGATGTCAAAACTTTTAACCATTTCTGTGGCTCAAAATTTTCGAAACTTTGGTATAAAAAAAAAAAAGAAAAAAAAATCAAATCTATAAATATTGAAATAGATTAGAATTATTTTTCATATATTGTTATTTCTCTCTCTTTTTTTTTTAATTGTCATATTCTTTTTTTATGTCACATTTTTTTATATTCTTATATTCCTTTTTATATATTCTTTTTTTTAAAAATTGTCATATTCTTTCTTTATGTTATATTTTTTTTTATATTCTTATATTTTTTTTATATACATATTATATTTTTTCGTATTGTTATATTCTTTTTTACATATATGTTATTTGAAATTTCAATTTCGAGAACAGCAAATTTTCCTTAGAAAAATAAAATCAGCAAAACTTCGAGAAGTTCGAGCTGGGAAAATTTCAAAAATCGAGCTCCAGCCTTACAAATAATTCCAATTTGTTGTAAACCATAGTCGATGATATCCAGTAAGCAAAGAAGTCATTGCATCTGGACATCGTGCAACATAGATGCACCTCATGGTCTCTTCAAAATATCTCGATCTATTTCAAAAGTCGGAACACTCGTATTTTTACGTTCGAATGATTCCACGACCTCGCTGTATCATTCAAACCAATCACGCGCTATACACGTCGATAGCTCTAACATTAAACAATCATATTGATCATCGTACATCACGTCTCATCTGTCATCTACCCTTCATGAATCATGGATCAACTTCAATAGCTACGTACAGTTCGCGAGAAAATGATTGCACACCCCATGATTTTCAGTGTTTCTCGAGGCTAATGCGATGTATGTAAATTTTATACACGCATCAATGTAAAGTATTCCTTCTTTGATAATAGAGAAGAGGAGTAATCGCAATTTTTCTTCAAACTGATCAGTTCGTGCGAAAAATAGGTGAAACAAAATGATAGGTCGTGTAAGAATCCGTTAATCGAACGAATAACGTGGCAAAATTTTTCACGTATTTTCGAGTGCTGAATCTGACCATAGTGTTAATTTTCGAAAATCAATTTAAAAAAGTACGGATTTTTGTGGCATGTACAAAAATATTTCATTCTTTTTTTCTTTTTTCCTTTTATTAACCATCCTCTACGAAATGAAATTTAATCTAGGTAATTTTGCAGCGTAGAAACTTTTTCCAATTCCCGTTATTTGATTTCAGTTTCTATTTTAAAAGCTATATTTTATCGCTAAAACAAGAAATCAATCGAACGACTGAAAAAAGTAATAGTTATTAGTTACAGTCCATTTATAAATCCATTTTTAAACATTTCTTTTCCTTTTTTAATTCCTCTTTTAAATGTTATTAATATTAACAATTTTTTTTTGAAATTACTTAAACGTCTTCTGTCCTCGCTAATTTCGTCGATTTCGAAATATATTATATAGAAATTCGTTTCCTTTATTTTAAATATATTAAGGACATATTAACCTCGATGGCGTATAGTGTATTTCAAGATCAGATTTGGGCCTTGAGCTTTTATTTTATTTTAACATCATTAAATATTTCTTTCTTTAGCGACGAAATAATCGAATAATAATTGAATAATGATTTTAAAGTAATTTTTTAATTATTTAAACTTCATTTATCTCCATTCATGATAATCCTAACTTCCGTTAAATTTTATTCCATAAACCTCATGAAAATCATGTTTCAAATTTATTATTTGCGATTAATATGTATTGAATTGACCAAAAAGTAATGTCCATATATCTACTATAGCTTATCAATTGTTTTAAGAAGAATTAATCTAATTCCAACACGGCCAAACTAACTATTTTTCAAATTTTTGTTAAGAATGTCATTTAACATTATAGCTTTGGTTACTTGACTTCGTGATTTTTCTTTCCATATACACAAAATCAATTGAAACTTTGGTATAAAAAAAAAAAAGAAAAAAAAATCAAATCTATAAATATTGAAATAGATTAGAATTATTTTTCATATATTGTTATTTCTCTCTCTTTTTTTTTTAATTGTCATATTCTTTTTTTATGTCACATTTTTTTATATTCTTATATTCCTTTTTATATATTCTTTTTTTTAAAAATTGTCATATTCTTTCTTTATGTTATATTTTTTTTATATACATATTATATTTTTTCGTATTGTTATATTCTTTTTTACATATATGTTATTTGAAATTTCAATTTCGAGAACAGCAAATTTTCCTTAGAAAAATAAAATCAGCAAAACTTCGAGAAGTTCGAGCTGGGAAAATTTCAAAAATCGAGCTCCAGCCTTACAAATAATTCCAATTTGTTGTAAACCATAGTCGATGATATCCAGTAAGCAAAGAAGTCATTGCATCTGGACATCGTGCAACATAGATGCACCTCATGGTCTCTTCAAAATATCTCGATCTATTTCAAAAGTCGGAACACTCGTATTTTTACGTTCGAATGATTCCACGACCTCGCTGTATCATTCAAACCAATCACGCGCTATACACGTCGATAGCTCTAACATTAAACAATCATATTGATCATCGTACATCACGTCTCATCTGTCATCTACCCTTCATGAATCATGGATCAACTTCAATAGCTACGTACAGTTCGCGAGAAAATGATTGCACACCCCATGATTTTCAGTGTTTCTCGAGGCTAATGCGATGTATGTAAATTTTATACACGCATCAATGTAAAGTATTCCTTCTTTGATAATAGAGAAGAGGAGTAATCGCAATTTTTCTTCAAACTGATCAGTTCGTGCGAAAAATAGGTGAAACAAAATGATAGGTCGTGTAAGAATCCGTTAATCGAACGAATAACGTGGCAAAATTTTTCACGTATTTTCGAGTGCTGAATCTGACCATAGTGTTAATTTTCGAAAATCAATTTAAAAAAGTACGGATTTTTGTGGCATGTACAAAAATATTTCATTCTTTTTTTCTTTTTTCCTTTTATTAACCATCCTCTACGAAATGAAATTTAATCTAGGTAATTTTGCAGCGTAGAAACTTTTTCCAATTCCCGTTATTTGATTTCAGTTTCTATTTTAAAAGCTATATTTTATCGCTAAAACAAGAAATCAATCGAACGACTGAAAAAAGTAATAGTTATTAGTTACAGTCCATTTATAAATCCATTTTTAAACATTTCTTTTCCTTTTTTAATTCCTCTTTTAAATGTTATTAATATTAACAATTTTTTTTTGAAATTACTTAAACGTCTTCTGTCCTCGCTAATTTCGTCGATTTCGAAATATATTATATAGAAATTCGTTTCCTTTATTTTAAATATATTAAGGACATATTAACCTCGATGGCGTATAGTGTATTTCAAGATCAGATTTGGGCCTTGAGCTTTTATTTTATTTTAACATCATTAAATATTTCTTTCTTTAGCGACGAAATAATCGAATAATAATTGAATAATGATTTTAAAGTAATTTTTTAATTATTTAAACTTCATTTATCTCCATTCATGATAATCCTAACTTCCGTTAAATTTTATTCCATAAACCTCATGAAAATCATGTTTCAAATTTATTATTTGCGATTAATATGTATTGAATTGACCAAAAAGTAATGTCCATATATCTACTATAGCTTATCAATTGTTTTAAGAAGAATTAATCTAATTCCAACACGGCCAAACTAACTATTTTTCAAATTTTTGTTAAGAATGTCATTTAACATTATAGCTTTGGTTACTTGACTTCGTGATTTTTCTTTCCATATACACAAAATCAATTTTCCATTCTTTTTTTTCACTTTTTTTTCCCCCCCCCCCCCCCACTTATAAGTCATGATCGGGCGTGATAGATTCAGTACTAAAACAATGAAATTTCCTTCAATAATTTACTGCTCATTTCGATCCGGGACTCTTTGCCATCTCGTGGTCAGCTACATAATCCCAATTGGCATAAACTGCATCTCACAGGTTAGGAATATTGCATTCACTACCAAAATCAACGTTACTCGATGACCAACCCAATAAATATAACGCGTTCTCCTCTTTTATTTCTCCTTTCTTTTTTTAGATTATTCCCTTTTGGGATACGCGACAATCAACGTGAAGAAACCATACGTTGTTCATAATACCCCGATTCGTGAAATCAAAGATACTACACTCAATTCGGAGTACCCAACAATGGTTACACTGCAGAATTACCTTCGACCACGCGATTTTCCATTTCTTTACCGAAATATTCTCCTTCGGAGCTGCTGAAAAATCTCGGAAGCACCGGAAATAATAGCGTACGCTCTCGCAGTGCCGCGTACAGTAGCTTCCAGACGAAAATATCAATGTTGAATTTCGAAGTATCAAGCGGAGAAGGTAATCGTGAAGAATAAAGAAGACACGAATGCCAGGCGGGCACGCGATATAGAAGATTCACCCCGTATATGAGATCATGCGTGTGTTAGGATTCTTTTGGCGGGTACTCACCTTCTCCTCGAGCGCCGGCCCGTTCTCCATCGCGTGCATAATGGCGTCCGAAATGCGGGTGTCCAATTGTCTGACAGCCCTCTCGGCTTTCAGGCCCAACGGATCGTTACGACCATCGACCGCCACAACGAGCCTCTCCACCGTTTCCACGTAGCCGGACCATGCGAGGTCCAGTTCGGATGCTGGCTCCGTCAGGCAACCTCTGCAATCAGATTACCTTCAGTCTCGCTTTTCATTCCACCTTCGTCAATGATACTTTATACGCCGACTTTTTACACTTAACTCTTTCCTTAGAATTAATTCCCTCCAACCCATAAATATCTCATTTTTTCCTCTATCAGCAGACGGGCTTTTATTCGCCATTCCATTCGGGGTACACTCACTGACAAAAGGCAAGGAACAATGTAACGATCTACGAATTTTTAACGGGGCAAATCAGTATATGAGCCGTTCACTGCACAAATCGATTAACTCCACTTTTTGAAAAATCTTAAATTTAAGTGCCAAAGCAATTGGTATAGTCGTAACTTTTTATATTTATAATAACTTTCCCCGATAATTAAGATTAACACCATTAAACGAGAAAAATTTTTCGCCACTGAATAATAAATAATTTGTTTCAGAGGTCACTTTGATTAACTCCGTACTCTAATGCAAATCGTTGCAATAATGCAACTCGAATGCACTAGCAAGCCACGAATGATAACGGTGAATTTTTTAGCGCCGTCTTATCAGAATTTAAGTAAAATTTAGTAAAATTTAAATTTATTACTTTTTCCACTTGCCAAATCGATTAACTCTTACAGTAACATAAAAATGGTAACATTACCAACGATTACCTTTTGGCTATTTTTTCTTATCAATTTTATATACCGTTGGATGAAAGTTGCATTTGTATTTATGCATTCTACGATATTTATTTCGATTTAAATTATAAAGGGAATTTGAAAAAACAATATACATTATTTCATCGCATTTCTCCACTTTTTGTTTTATGGAGTCAATCAATTTGTGCAGTGAACGGCTCATATAACCTTCAAAAATATGAATTTTTTTATTGTCTTAAACAATTCTGAGAGCATTTTCATTGCCAGGACAAACATCTTACGGCATAGATGGCGCTAAATACTCATTAAAGAACTTTCCAATGTTACGTGTAAAAGAGCATACGTAATTGTGACCCTCTTTGAACAAAAATTAGTATAATTTTTACCAGAAGCAGCTGCATATTTTCAACAATCGCGAAAATAAAATGTCCTCAACGAGTCATTTGAACCCCTATGGTGATTCTAATGTTAACCCTTTGCACTCGAGGATTTTTTGACTAGAGAAGAATAGAAAATTAAAGATTCTCTACTAAAAAACTGACGATAATTTTTTGAGCAGTAAATAAAGAATTGTACAATAATAGAATTGTTGAATTATTTGATTTCGATACTTGGCACACTGTTACATTGCATTAAATTTGATATATTAATTAATATCGATCTTCCAAATTTTATGAAATAATGACTGAAGCTCACCTCTCGATGAAATATTCTTTTTCTCCGACTAATGTATAGATTGAAATTAAAACAGGTTTTATTTTAGATGTTCGAGAAAAATCTATTGTTTGGTTGACGTATAAGATGTTACTTCTTCCTTCCATTTTTAATTACGAGGAACAATCAAATATTTGCAGACGATTATTTTGTTTTTTAGCTTTTGCTAGTGTGTGGAAAATTGGAATTAATGTTAGAGCCTGAAATGTGCAATTAAATATTCCATGCATGAATGATAACGATTACATTGATAAAATAACATCGTTTCTATCTGACAATGAGTGAAGGACAATACCAATTTTGCCAAGAATTACTGCATGTTTCTAGGAATTGGGGAAATTAAATGTCCAGAATCCATTTTGGTTCTCATGGTAATGTAAAATTACCTACATTACAATTATTGTGATATATCAACGATTTTCTAATGTTGCTTTAGACAAAAATAAAGTGATTTTAGAGATAAAATTTTTCATTTAATTTCTATTTGGAACATTTGTTAGTATTGCTAATACTCATAAAGATCGATTACTAATAGTTTCGATCACTAGATTTTAGTAGTTACTGGCACTAAATTTAGTAGCATACGTTTGAATAGTTAGTAATTGAATAAAATAGTAATAGGTTTGAATAATTCTCTCCTTCTTTCCTAATTTTTGATAATTTTCTATTTTTAACAGAATCCTTTTTCCCTTTTTTAAAGAATAACAGGAGAATTTTTTCTTTTTTCATTCTCACTGACGTAAAATATAACGTATGCTATATACAGAGAACATAGTGATTCGAAGCAGCATCAATAATAAGAGAACATAAATAAAAACTGGAATAAAAATTAGAAATAATTTTCTAAACTGTCTAAAAACACAAACGTTTGATAATAAATACCAAACATACAACTTAGCAAAAATAACTACCATAATTTTCAGATTATTTTTCAAAGAGATGAATCTTACTAATTACAACTTTATCAACTTTGAATCTATTTTTATAGTAATTTACAAACTCAGGCTGGTATAAATATAAAAATCAAACGCGCAATTTAGTAAAAATATTCGTACAATAATTTTCAGGCTATTTTATGCAGAAGATTCTACAATTTCAACTTCAACTTTGGAAATGTCTTTTCGATGACACAGTTGTACTTTTGCCATACGAAGATCTACGATGACACCTTGGACTAGGTTTCGCGAGTAAAAGTACGAGGTAGTCATAAGTAGAACTTTAATAAAAATGCGTGACCAGGCGAATATAGTCAGACATACTTGTCTTTGAGCAATGTCTCGTCTTTCCTTACGTAACCAACTACTTCGAAAAGTTCCAAGTAAAGCAATTACAAGTTTTTGCATCTAGAGTTATACAAATGTGTCACGAAGAAATATCGTGTTTTAAAAACGCCGTGATTTCACGGTTAGTCGTAGCTAACCATCCACCGTCATTTCTCAGTTATTTTCAAAGAAAAAAATAACACTAAAAAAAGGATGATGCTTCGAATTTTATTCATAAACAGTCAAACATATTTGCACTTTAATAAAATTATTTACGAACCTGCAAACAAAATACTCTTCATTAATCGATTTAATTTAAAAGTTATTTTAAATTTGGAGCTTTAAAGATAATTTAATACCGAGATACGTAATTAAATAAATAAACTTAAACACAGGTGACAATAATTAAAGCGATATAATTATTAGATCACATCGATCAACATTCCCCATTTAGGTTTTTGAAATTTCCAAACGCCAAAGTACTTGATTGACATATTTCATTTTAATTCGATAATATATAATAATTTTGGTAATTTTATATTATTTTTCTTACGTTTGTTACTCTTCTAATCTTTCTACTCATTTTGAAAATTTCTGTACCCTTTAAATTCTTTATTTAAAATTTTTATTTCGTAACTTTATGTAATACACACGTTTCACAGAAGAAGCTTAAAAAAAGAATAAACAAAGAAATCAACAAATTATTTTTATAGCGTTCCGATCATTGACACGTTGATTGTCACTCGCATTTTACGTGGTTTGCCCATGGCGCCAACATGAATATTTTATTATGCGATGCATATTATGTTGAAATATTATTTACAACAGATAAGGTGAGTTGTATAATCGCGTTTAATGTATTTTTCGTGGTGGGGGTCACCGGTGACCCCCGCGGCGCTGTAGACCATTTTTGCCATTATCAATTGTTTAAAAAGCAACTCGAAAAAATATTTCAATTCCCGATTTTAGGATGAAGTTAGCGATGTATTTAGTGAAATGTTCCGATCACGAAGATTGCATTTCATCGAGCAATTACGTACAGAAAATACGTCGCCACGAATTTGAAGAGAAACCTGGAAGTGTGCGAAATGTAAGGCGATTTTGCAAAGTGTGCTATGAAAATAATTCAAATCAGCTAGGAAGAACGAGAGCAAAGAATTGCACTGAAAAAGTGGCGACATATTGTGCCGACTGTTTTGATTCACCTTTTCTTTGTATAAATAAAATTATCTTTGCATGTTCTGTATGGCATTAATTTCTTCGAACCATTATAGTAACAGTGATACTATTTAAAAATTTATCAGTTTCGATATTTACTCTAATTACGTATTTTTACTAATGGTCGCGTCGCCGGTCACCGGTGGCCCCTGTGGCGCCACCGCCAAGTTGAGTGCCGGTCACCGGTCCCCCCCATGCCAGTCAACGTGTTAAAAATGATCGCCATTGATAGTCTAGTATTCGCAGAACAGTTGTGTAAATTTGCGTATCTAAGAATGTACGTAATAGTCCGAATGAAAATTACTCGCGAGATTTTCACGTTATATGCAGATTAACGTGCAAAAATTCGGCGACTATATTTCCAAAGCTTTCGCAAACGTCGGAAACAGAGAAAGAAAATGATTAACCCTTTGGACTCGAAGATTTCTTCGTTGCGAAGATGCAATTCGAAGCTCTTCTTAGATTTTTATAAGTCACTGATACTCTTTATGCTAAAATTAAAAAAGTAAAATCGTGAATTTGCGCGAGAAACGAACGAATAGAATAATTTAGTTTCGATGTTCTTAATATAATTATCATCATTCGTTATTTAAGTTATAGAATTAAAACAAACGGTGACTGAGAGTCACCTCCCGAGTGCAAGGGGTTAAAAATGAAGTATGTCGGAGCGAGGAACGAAGGTAAGATAATTCCTAGAATCGAAAAGCGACAGACCGGTATTATCCGCGACATGACACGTTCGGTTGAAAATGCATTTTGATTCACACCCACGTACCCCGGGTAAATTTAGACCCGGTGTGAGCGATTTCAGAGGTTTCATTGCACGTGGATACGTATGCGATAAATTAACCGCAAAAGAATCACCCTAGTCCCAGGAATCCGGAAGCTGATCGATCAAACCGTTTGCGGTTATTTACAATTTGCATCTTATGAATTTAAACAAGTCTATCTGCCTCTTGCTCTTTATATAACAAATATATTTAACTCGCGCGTTTATCGATCTGGTGTTATTTATCGTATATTTCCACGTATATATATGATATTAATTAATTAATTTATTTATTGTTTACCGAGTTTCCTTTTTATCAACCCTTTACATTCATCATTCTAGAATTGCTATAGAATTTCAATCATCACTGAACAGATTAATCCAACAGCTGCAGTGCTCTGTTGGTGGATGCACTAAGCACAGTACTGTCAATTGTAAATATCTCTAACCATAACTGTACTACACACTGATTATTCTAGAATTGCTGTGGAACTTAAATCGTAAGTGAACAAATTAATCCAACGGCTACTGTACTATGGTGATGGCTGTACTCGGTATTGTTTTGTCAATTGCTAATGCGATGCTCGTGCAATAATGAATCTGCATTTTGTCATTCTAGAATATTTATGGACGCTATCTGTATACTTATTTCTATGGACACCTGTCAAATTGACAGGTAAAGGAAACCACGTGGCTTTCTTTTTAACGATTAGTTTAATTCAAAAACAATTACAATATTAATGGTATTAATACAAGTTGACTAAATCTGTTACCATTGTATAATTGGAGCAACTCTTCCGTAAAATTGACGGGTTCCGTAAATCTAGTGTTAAAGAAGAGTAGGAGTGCAAGGATTTTTTTGCTATAAAGCTGACGATAATTTCTTGAGCAATAAATAAGAAACAGTATAATTAATTATAATTAAGTATAATAATTATTTCATTTCGATATTTCGCACACCATTACAATTATATTATATTAACAACCGATCGTTAATGGAAATGGAATAGAAATAAAATTATTTAATTATTTAAACATCCGATACTATTTAAAGATCACTTAATTAAATCTTGGAGGTAAGTAGTATCGGGCCTGTATTTATTTGTTTCTGCTTGCCGTTCCGTTCAGGCCCAGATTCGGCCGTCAAGTGGGCCAAGTGTTTATAAAATTCGGAGATACTGTACCAATTGTTGTAACAGGAATTCCCAAACGTTAGGTTCAAAGATGGCGAAGAATTTAACACCAAAGGTTTGCACCTTTTGTGCAAATGATTTTAAATTTTTAATCCCTATTTATATATTTATGTATTTAGTTTTATATATTTAATATGATTTATAATGATTTTAGATTTTCAACCCCCATGGGTATAACAAGTGGATGTATATAAAGGAAAGTAATTTGGAATAATATTCGTTTCATATTATGACACGCATAGAGGGAAATATAAAATGGGAATATGTAAAAATGTGAAGTGCGAAAATTGGAAAAGTTATATTTAACCTTGAAGTTAAATTGAAGACCAGACAACTCGAGGTATTTCTGTAAATAGCAGTCCACATACGAGGGAACGACTCATCAAAAACGATAAAAGAAAGCGAAAGTAACCGAAGTCAACGTAGAATATAGAGCGAGTCGTTAAGGATGAAAGACACGAGTGAGAGCAGAATCATCTTTCTCAAATCGTCATTCGTGAATTTGGAGAAATCAATATTATAAAATGTTACTATACGAACATACCAATGGAATAATAATATCGATCATTAAAATAGGAAATTCGCAATAATCGTATAAATCTATCTCCAGATGAAAGTTAAAAACTTTTTTTTTAAATTATTTGCTTGTATTTTAAATTATCTGCTTATATTTACTTAACATTTAAATTATTAACGTTGAAATAAAAATAAAGTTACATCCAAGGAGAAGAGTAATGAAACAAAACTACTACTTTTAAATTAAATAAATGTAAAATCGCGCGAAATTAGAATAAAATTTGAAAACTAAATTCTCAGTCGTTCAAAATTAAATTAAATTTTAAATATTCAAAATTAACATTAAAATATTTGAAATGTAAATATGAATTTAAAAATTAAATATTGCGATATTAATTTCAATTCTATTTTCATTTCGTGATATTATTTCATCGAATCATTCTACTACAATTTTATAAGTTATATATTACGTTTAATTTTAAATATCCAAAATTAACATTAAAATATTTGAAATATAAATATGAATTTGAAAATTAAATATTGCGATATTTATTTTATTTCTATTTTCATTTCGCAATGTTATTTTATCGAATCGTTGTACTATAATTTTATATATTATATATAACGTTATATTAACGTTTAATTATATATAACGTTTAATTTTTAAATTTTTATTTAAAATTCCAAAATTTAAAAATTAACATTCAAATATTTAAAATATAAATATGAATTTGAAAATTAAATATTGCGATATTTATTTTCATTCTATTTTCATTTCGCAATGTTATTTTATCGAATCGTTGTACTATAATTTTATATATTATATATAACGTTATATTAACGTTTAATTATATATAACGTTTAATTTTTAAATTTTTATTTAAAATTCCAAAATTTAAAAATTAACATTCAAATATTTAAAATATAAATATGAATTTGAAAATTAAATATTGCGATATTTATTTTATTTCTATTTTCATTTCGCAATGTTATTTTATCGAATCGTTGTACTATAATTTTATGTATTATATACAACGTTTAATATGCATTGCAATAATCGTAATGAAATTACGCAATTATTGAAAAAGTGAGTAAAAATTAAAACGAGAACATGGTATCACTGAATATTCCAAGGCAGAGATTAAAACCTCGCCCTCGGAAAGTATAAAACGGTCTTATTAAGTTCCCTTAAAGCTCCCGGAAGAGGACAGAATTCCATAAAGCTCGGAGCGACGTAACGTGCACGATTATTTTATGCAACGAATTAAACGTGTACGATCATTTTATGCGAGGAGTTAAACATGCACGACATTTTATTCCATGCCCGGCTAAACTCGGAATTAATCTCGTCGGTATCACCAACGTCACTTCATTTTCAAGTTTAGATGATTCGTTTCGTTAAACACGATCCCGCGACGAGTACGCGAAATTTCAGTAATTACTAGTCGAATATAGATGGATATGAACCGACAAATTTATCACGTGTTTACTTGCACCAAATACTTGGAGTTTATATCCTAAATAACGGGGAATTGGTACACATTTCGCGTTTGACCTTATTTAACATTTAAAAATAGATTTCAAAAATTTCAATTAAAATGCCAAAAATAAAAATAACTTATTAACATTCGTTTATTGTTAATATAATACCAATATCATGGATATACGAAACTTTTATTTTTACGTAATAAGAATTACCTGCTATGAGTTCGACTTTATTTTAAATTTAAAAATCGTGGTGTCAAATTTTCAAAATTGTATAAAATAATATCTGTAGAAAATAAAAATTATAGAAATGTGTAAAATCGGAGGAACGGCGTTATTTAAAATTTAAAAATCGTGGTGTTAAATATTTAAAATTGTATAAAATAATATCTGTACAAAATAAAAATTATACGAATGTGTAAAATCGGAGGAACGTATTAATGTATACGAATAAAGGAAAATTTTATTATTTTCCAGGTTTTATAAACGTAGATTTATGGATATAAAAAGTTTTATTTATGTACACACGGTTAACTGCTATTCACGTGTGTGCTTTTATTTGGAATTCGAGAATCCTGACGTTCGAATTGAAATTTTGAAAATGGAAATATATAAATAATGGAAATTTTAAAATGAAGGGAGATTAATTACTTTTGTCTGCTCTAAATAAAAAATTCGGAATGCGGAAAATTTGTCTTTATACACAAATGAAATGCTATTACTGGTATTTAAAATTCAAAGATAGTAGTATTTAAATAATAATTTATAGAATGGGAAATTTTAATTATTTTTAACTTCTACAACCAAAAATTTGATTAAGTATACATTACTATGCGTCTGATCATATTTATCAATTAAAAGATAGTGGTATTTCTAAATAAAAAATTCTGAATGCGGAAAATTTGTCTTTATAGACAAATGAAACACTATTACTGGTATCATTTAGAATTCAAAGATAGTAGTATTTAAATAATAATTTATAAAATCGCAGATTTCGATTATTTTTAAACTCTACAACCAAATATTTAAGTAAATATACACTACTATGCGTTTGATCATATTTATCAGTAAGAACATAGTGGTATTTCTGTGAATTGTTGAAACTAATTTAAAAATGGAAAATTTAGAGTCCAATTTTTATAAGCAAATAATTCCAAACATTTTCTTTTGCATTTACACAAAATTAACAAACGATATTGTAACTGTGATTGTGTTGTAATTGTAATTGTAACATGTTCGATAACCGTATTTAGGGTGGTTCTGCTCCCTAATTGGATACAACAGGATCACCAGGTATCCCTTCAATCCGTGTAACCACATCTCCAAACGAATTATTTTGAATGTGATAAACGTCGAAAATATGCAGCTACTCTGTGACAGCTCTGGTTGAAATAATTTCATTCACCCTCGTCATTAGGAAACACGCTAACAACGCCCTACATTTATAAAAAAATAAATAAATAAATAGGAAACAGCAAAACAATAGGAAAACTTCCTTATTGTTCCAAATATTCACGCACACCCCGTGCAATTGCCGTCACCGTGGGCATCCTGAATGTTTAAAACGAAACACAAGCCAGGGACGATTCCCACAGGGACCCCGGCTACGTCACAATGACTAATGCGATTGAAAATTAACAAAGGCCGCGGTGAATAGGCCGACCCGTGAGGGCTTAGATAATTACCAGACTTGGATACACCGTGCTCACCTCATGACATTAGTGCAGAATCCGCTGCAGGGCCTGACGGAGGGACCGATGCCCTTGCACCTGGGACAATAGGTCATCCTGAGCAGCGCACCATAGCAGGCTTCCTGCTGTGGACTGGTACCGGAAAACAGCACGCTGTCGGTTCTATCCAGCACCGTTTTGCCCAGAGTCAACGCCTGAACGAGCACTCGAGTAGCTTCCAGGCTCTTGCTCACCGACTTGGCGACCTGCTTGGGTATATCACCGAACGGCTGGATCTCGTCCATCGTCTCGTAAAGGCAATTCTTGAACTTCTCGATGAAATCTTGCTCGTATTGACGAGGATTCACCGCATTGTGATAGGCGATGGGGAAGAGTTTGGTGAAGAACTCTATGAACCGTTCTTGAAGCATGTCGCGGGTCAGGGGCTGCTGCAAGCTGTCCGGCGTGTTGCTCGACGACACGTAATCAACCATTGCCTGGTACAGCGCTTTTATCGAGGGTCTGCTCAACACCGCCATCGTGCGATATACTTGATCGAAGAGGGTTAAGGTTTTGTTCTCCGACTGTCTCGCGAGCATCGTCACGGTCTCTGTAAAACAAAAACGTTCGTGATTAAAGCCGGGGCTTCTATTTCACGGTGAGAATGAATTTCGAGCAGGGGAATTTCGGATGTAAACAGGACACGGAAGGGGATAATAAATTTACCTTTGTTGGGAATGGAAATAAGAGGTTCTTGTTCTTGGGTCTCCGGTGATTACTATAGAGAAGGATTCTGGATTATAATAGAACTATTAAGAAGGAAGTTGTGTGCTTCGTTGATGTGATGGATTCTTAATTGTATTGAGGATCAAAGTGAAGAATATTAAATATAAATGAAATAGAGATAAGATGGAAAGATAGTACAGTATCTATCACTATAGTATAGTATATAATATAAATTTAAATATCAATTTCAAATAAGTATTCGTATTTGATTAAGTCCCTAAAATCTTTATTAGCTAAAATTCAACAATTTGGTTGTAATAATATCGTGAGTATAAAATAAGGAATATAAAAAATTAATTTTTCGAATTTTTATGATTCACAGGTAACTAATTAATTAAATATCGTCGACGAGAAGTAGGAAATAATAGAGGTTTTCATTGAAATAGTTTTAAGAAGTAGAAATTCGGTGTCCATTAAATTATTCGTAATTAAACGTAACAACATTCGATACTTGAATAGTATTCAATGTCAAGTGCTAGTTGTATACTAAATGTGACTATATGATCACTAGTGGTCACGTGATTAATAGTCATACTCGTTCAATACCGAAGATGAATATAATTATCTTCAATTTGTATAACTTATAACTAACTAATTAAATACCACTGACGAAAAGTAAGAAATAATAAAGGTTTTCTTCGAAATAGTTTTAAGAAGTAGAAAGTGTTCAATATTTTATTCGTTACTAAAAGTAACAATATTCGATATTCGAATAGTATTCAACGTAAAGTACTAGTTATACTGAAGGCGAGTATAATTATCCGGTGTTAAGTGTTCGCTGTATACTAACGGTGATTATAGTACACATAGCATTCAGTACTCGCTGTATACAAACAGTGGTTATAGTACACCTAACGTTCAGTACTCACTATATACTAACGGTGATTATAGTACACTTAACGTTCAGTACTCGATGGTACACTAACGGTGATTATAGTACACCTAATATTTGGTACTCACTGTATACTAACGGTGGTTATAGTACACTTAACGATTGGTACTCACTGTATACTAATAGTAATTATAGTACACCTAATATTTGGTACTCACTGTATACTAACGGTGGTTATAGTACACATAACGATTGGTACTCACTGTATACTAATAGTAATTATAGTACACCTAACGTTCAATACTCACTGTATACTAACGGTGATTATAGTACACTTAACGTTCAGTACTCGATGATACACTAACGGTGATTATAGTACACCTAATATTTGGTACTCACTGTATACTAACGGTGGTTATAGTACACATAACGATTGGTACTCACTGTATACTAATAGTAATTATAGTACACCTAATATTTGGTACTCACTGTATACTAACGGTGGTTATAGTACACTTAACGAGTGGCACTCACTGTATACTAATAGTAATTATAATACACCTAACGTTCAATACTCACTGTATACCAACGGTGATTATAGTATACCTAACGTTCAGTACTCGTTGTATCCTAACGGTGATTATAGTACACCTAACGTTCAATGCTCACTGTATACTAACAGTGATTATAGTATACCTAACATTTAACATTCGCTGTAGACTAAAACTACTATCATCGTATACCACGTGTCGAATAACCCTTATACACCAAAAGTAACTATAGCCATCCAACACTGAGTACTCGTTCCATGCCGAAGCTATCAATAACCAATTAGTAAACTGCATTATTCATTTAATTATCTGCATCGTTCGATTGAGATATGATTACTGCAACATAATATTCCTTTACAACTCGTTCTACGTAAATTCGAAAAACCTATACGCTGCAGACTCGCATCTCAATTGCCCCATATAACGAGATATGCCCCATACATTAACAGCCTACTCCCCCGTAAGGAAAAAGTTAACAAGGAAGTACTATATTATTAGGTTTCGTTTCGTTTTCTTGCTCCATCGACCCACTCGCTGACGGAGACAGTAGAAGCAGACGTTAGATGCTAATAACCTAGTTACCACGCGAAAAGAAGTTCTTTTAAATGTTAAACGAAGATCGGAAGGTACATACAGCTACTGTAACATCAGATCGAGAGAAAATTTCGCATTTATCGCTGGGGTACATCGATCGTAAAAGTATCGCAATAACAGTAACAAGTTCCGCGAAGTAGCTGGGAATTACAAGGGTGAGAAGATTTTATAGTTGGCGCAACAGCGCTCACGTCGTAAAGGTAGGGTAATAACGCTGACGAGAACGTTTATCGAAGTAATAGGGATTTATTGAGATGAAATACGATGTAGTCACTTTTATATTACACAGTACGATATAACATAAAGATATTATCACAACGGTGACTAAAGCTTCTGCGAAAAATGTGTTTTCATTCTCATCTTTCATTGAGAAAGATCCTTGTATAGTCCAGGTCACGATATAGCAAGATCGTGTATTAAAATCTCAAGAATCGGCACCGATTGATGCTGTGACACTCGGGACAACGCATGAAATCCTGCTCGAGGGTGCCAACAGTAAATTAACCCTCGAACTCTCTTTGTCAATCACCGTTTGTTTCGATACCTGGAAGCTCGAGTGACGAGTATGAGCTAATAACTAGATTGGAAGTACTAAAACGAAAATTTAAATTTAAAAAATTCTATAGAATCTATCCTAAATTCGCAATAATCTCACTTAAAAGATCAATTCTTCTGCTAATTTTAGCATTGACCTGAAATTGGTGACACAGATAATTGTAAAAGTAAAAATTTAAGCAAATACAGAAATAAGGTTAATCACTTTAATCTACAAATGATTCATATTATCTATAAGTTACATAGATAACAGCAGAAATGTAGAAGATGGACTGAAAAACAGAGATAAGGACTAGAGTCCAGGACCAGAGCCCAGGACCAGAGCCCAGGATCGAAGTTCAGGACCAGAGCCCATGATCAAGGTTCAGGATTAAGGCTTCAGGATCAGAGCACAATATCATAGCCCAGAATTAGAGACCACGATCAGAGCTTAGGATTAAAAACCCAGAACAAGAGTTCACGATCAAAGTTCAGTACCAAAGCCCAGGATCAAAGCTCAGGACCAAGGCTCAGGACTAAAACACAAGATCAGAGCCCAGGATTAGAGATGACAATCAGAGACCAGTAAACCAGAGACCAGGCACAGAACCTAGGATTAAAGACCACTATCTGAGCTCAGAATTATGGACTCGAAACAAGAGTTCGTGATCAAAGCTTAGTACCAGAGATCAGGATCAAAGCTCAGGGCCAATGATCAGGACCAGAGCACAAGATCAGAGCCTAGAATTAGAAATGACAATCAGAGAAAAGAACCAGAGCCTAGGATTAAAGACCACTATCTGAGCTCAGGATTAGGAACTCGAAACAAGAGTTCACGATCAAAGCTTAGTACCAGAGAGCAGGATCAAAACTCGCTATTAAAGATCAGAACCAGAGCTCATTATCGAATCTCAGTACCAAGGGTCAAGATCAGAGCATAGGACCAAAGCATAAGTCCAGAGCACAAGATGAGAACCCAAGACTAGAGACGACAATCACAGACCAGAACCATAGACTAGGACCAGAGAGCCTAGGATTAGAGACCACTATCTGAGTTCAGGACTAGAGACCCAAAACAAGAGTTTATGATCAAAGTTCAGTACCAGAGCCCAAGATCGAATCTCAGGACCAGAGTCCATGATCAAAACTCACTATCAAAGGTCAGGACTAGAGTCCAAGAGTAGAACGCAGCTACGAAAGACGCAATAGATTATAGCAAAGGAATAAATATGTGCATACAACAAAGTATAGTCCTGATATCCGTCATCTAACAATTCATATTCGATATAGCGCAAGGCATAGGTGAAGAAAAACAATTTCCTATGAAAACGAAACCTAACCTAACCTAACAATTTCCAACCAAAATGAAACAGAAATTCCAACACGATAAAAAGATACCACACGAATTATCTTTGTACAACGTCCCATATTAAGTACGAATTATTCTAAAAATTACTTTTGCGAGTTTCACGTGTGCGATAAGATGGAAAAAGTTGAAAATGACTAACATGTCCTGCTGTAAAAACCCAATATCACCATCGTAAGTTCCTATTTCCAATAAATTCGTTCGGACCGAGATGTTACGAACAGCCAGTCCAAACAACAAACTTCCAACGAATCCGTCGGTAACAAGACTTTTGGACACACGGCTGTTTGTATTTCGATCGGTTTTCCAATACACCGAGCACAGGGACGCGTCGATGGCACGCGGTAGCCTGCGGGCGAATCCAACGAGCTATCCGCACAGGCGAGCAAACGTTGGAAGACTTACACGCGGATACACGTGAATTCGTCCGCGATTAGACGTACAGCTAGCGAAAACAAATAGCAGCCTATTACAGCGCCTATCGGGGAATAATGGACTTGGCCCAGTGGCGAGCGCACGCCAGTGGTGGGGGGAATCGTGTCGTAGCCTTCGGACGATGACTAACGTACGAACAAATTGCCGACGCACAGACTGGGACCTAGTAACATTCCTCTCGTCTTCTTCCTCTTTCACGGTCTTCTCCCTCCGGCTCGCGATCCGGCTCTCGAAATACCTCGCGAAGGAGGAAATCGACGGTAAAAGGAGAATAATGGAACAGGGGGAGGAACGCAAAAGGAGAAACAGAAGCAAAAGGGAAAGGACGAGAGGGAAAGCGGGAGAAACGAACGAACGGAACACGTCGGGAGGGAAAAAAAGGACGAGAATACACAAGGGAGAAGAGAACATCGTCGCGATACCTGCTGTCCTGTTTCGACTTCGGCATCGGTCCCTGTCCTCCGAGCACCTCGTCGTCTTCCTCTGCCTCTTCTGCTCTCTCTTCTGAAAGG